ATCTCGCAGACTACCAACTCGGCATCATTCACTCCGTTGCTGCCGAAAGGGACATCATCCCCAATGCCTGTCCGTAGCACCATGACTCCCGGACAGTCCTATATCCCCGTTTCTCGGATGTCCCCTAATCCCTCGCCTCGGATGAGCCGCACCATGCGAACAAACACGCCAGTCTCCGTCGCTTTTGGTTCAACCTACCATGCGACCCCTCCACTGCGTCGAGCATCTAGCTCGGGCCCACATTTGCCTGGTCAGTCCAGTGGCCAAGGGTCGCGACAGGCCCATCTGCACTCGATGACTCTGCCCCGTAACAGGATGCCCTATCCCCGTGGTCACTTGACCAGCCAGTCTTCTTCGTCCATCGGCACCCCGACTATGACTCGGCGCTCGAGCCCGTCCACTATCAAAGAGCCCGAAGTGGACCAGGTCCCAATTCCTTTTGGACATTCGGCTGTCGTACAAAGCCGGTCTGCTTCTCGACGCCGATCGGCCGTTGGAGGACCAATTTTCAAGTCTATTACCTCACCTGCAGCCAGACTCGAGTACACATTCTACATTCACGATGTTGAAGCCTTTCAGCGGCCATTTCTAGACCGTCGAGTCGAAGCCGTGGCACGTTCTTGTCAGTGCGCTATCACATTGCATCAGATTGAACCAGGCCAACCTCCGCTCTACTACAAAGGCGTCAGAGTATTGCCAGTAACTGTGTTTGCTCGCCACCTGAACAGTCTGAAACGCTGCCTAGCTAGGCTGGACAGCCAGTATCCCCACTTCAACGTAAAGGCCTTCTTCCCACCCGACATCATCTAGTTGTATAGCATTTTAAGGTAGTTGCGCTACTCACTTCTGGACTTAGGTGATCCTATTCGTTCTAGGTTCTTAACGAGACTGCGGTTACCCAACTATTTTATTTCGATCGCGCCACTTTCATCTTCTGTTGAACGGCTAGACTTAAAGCCGATTTCAAAAACTAACCTGCAATCACGGCTACGCACACTGGATTTTAGCAGATTTTTTACACTAAATACTATATCTTTTGCTCTCAAGATCACTGAAAGCCCCCACTTTTGATGTGTATTTTCGTGCATTGCTCGCTCATTTCAAAGTGTGCTTACCTTTAACTCCCTCTGACCTCCTTAACAGGGCGATTAAAGCCAGGTTGAAGGATATGAGCTCATAAATTGACGACCATTTTTCAAAAGTGAGCAAATGAGGCCCAATTTCCAACACCAGATTTAACAAGCAATGGGTTAATAAATATGAATGTCATTTATAAAAGTCATTTTCAGAATCACTAACAAGTAACAAAAATAAATTGTCTTGGCCCTTCATGAGGGCACAGGGTTATTGTGATCATTTAACACTGACACAAAAGCTTTATTTGTACAGATACAAATAATCTATACATATCCAAATGTCAGATAACTGTTTTCTTCCTCGGGTGCCAAATTTTAATGAATTTTAGAATCTTATAAGCTAAAATCTATTTGAGATGGCTTTTGATTTGTTCATGAGCTTACATTTTTCCAGGCCTGTAATACAGACCCGTTTAGGTAAAGAATATAGATTTATCCATTACTGAGGTTGCATCATTATCGATGAGGCACTAAGGCCTAAAAATTCTTGCTATTTCCTGATATTGATGGATAAAACAAGGGGTATAATTGGTTTTAATGAAGAATTTTATTATGTCAACTGGTGATATTTTATAGAATATGGACCTTTATTAGCATTACATATGTTGATAGATTTGAAATCCTACTCATTTCGAATACAATAAATTTGGGGACGGTTATGGCAGATACATATTTGAAGAAAAGTTGGGTTTTGAGGAATCTCTTGTTTCATAATTGTTGAGCTTACTTCCATTTCGAGTGAAAGTGTTTGGCGAAGAGATTCGTAGGTCGGTTTCACCAGAAGACGACGGCGGATTCCTCTTGACCAGCAGTCGATTGGCTTTACTGGAAGATTCATGCTGACG